CAGTAGAAAGCTTTCCCATTGAGCGACAAAGCAAAGACAATTTTCTATGTATATTTTGAAATTATATTAAATTTTCATTTAACAATAGAAGTAATTTGTGATTCTCTAAATGCACCACTCAAATGTCTGATTAAAAATTAATGTAACAAAAACAGAAAAGATAGAAGAGGCAGAAATATAAATATATATTTATATTTCTTTATATATGAAATATAACATAAAATGATGTAACCAAAGGAGTAAACAAGCATAAATCAATGATGAAAAACAAGATGCTTGATCTCTGCAAATTATATCAAAGAAGCATCCCAGATAAGATGGATAATGCAAAACGTGTGCTAAATGATTAACACAACACACACAAACCAGAACCACAAGGGCATCCAATTTAAAGGACCTAGTTCTTGATACAAGCTCTACTTTTCACAGTTTGATTATCTTTGGAGTCATTTATCTGGCAGGTATGCCAACAATATGATACCAACAGTAGGCGACAGTGGGCAGTGAAGCCGTCATAAAACAAAAATGATTCACTTCTCAACAGAGCAACTTCCACTATCAATAATGTGATCAGAGCTATCCTAGATCAAGAAGTACTAATGAAATTTGAAGATGTACTTTTTTGGGAACACTTTGAAACATCTGTTACAACTTTTTTTTTTTTAAATTTAGAGATATTATGCAACTCTCAAGGTGTACATGTTCAACTTTATCTCTAATTCTTCTGATTTGACTACTGTTTTTCCCCCATAGTTTGTTTACTTTGTGGCGACAGCTGTAATGCTATGAGTGGGTGAGCTCCTAGCATCTGAACAACTGTCATCAACTTCAAGTTGCAGATTTTTCAGTTTGACTTCGAGAATTCTTGGTTTAACATCTTTCCATCTTCAAGTTTAGACAGTTTAGCCAATTGGCAGAAAGATTTTATTACACTTAAATTGACACAGTAACACGTTTTGCAATTATCACTGTTTGTTTTTTCCCCTCAAACACAGAACCGAACTGATGAAACGGGGAACAGAAGAAGAATGACCTTTTCTTTCATTTTGTACTAAATCAATGAAGCTGTTCCAAACATGAATATATTTCAAAGCACACATAGGTGTCATAAAACATAACAAAATCGTGCTGTGGAGTAAAATAAGTTTTGGATGGCTCCTAGGTGTTTCTCTCAATAATCCCTCATACTTTTTGTATAGTGTCACCAGTCCAAATCAGCAGTGACTGAGCAAGTGCAATGCATTAAGCAAATCATGTTATGTTAACTATCAAAACGGATAACAGTTGGGGGAAGTGGGAGATTAAATTTTTTGTACATACAATGAATACATTTACTACAACATCATAGCTCACGGTGGCATATTAAATAAATTGGAATAGCAAATTAAGAAATGCTAAGGACTAGGAAAAGTAAATGAGCCAAAAATGTTTTTATTTTACTTGTATATGTGAGAGCCCAACATACCAACTTATAAGATTTAGTTTGATGCTACCAAGGTTTACCTAACGACAGTTATTTTCTCTTTCTGCTACTACTACTGAAAAGTGCTTTAATCGCTTACTAATTCACAGCCTCCGTAAAGTAGTATGTTTAGCTGTCAGTGCCTAAGAGCTGAAATTTATCTCTGACACAGATCTGTGGTTTACATTTTAGTAAACTCTCTCTGTGACGGACAAAACCTTAGAAAATTCTGAAACCACGATTTTTATCTTCGTACCTGACGTCGATTAAAGGAAGTCCAACGCCTTTAATGGGCTAAACAGAAAGTATTGCAATCGTATAGTTCTTGGTAGCTATTTTGAGTAAACAAAAAACAAAAACGCAGTGATAATACCACGAGTCGGTGTAACGTACTAAACTTCTCAATGACATCAGATTCACAGCTCGGTTAGCTGCATTATGCACTGTGTTTAAGGACAGTTTACGTTATTCTTACAATTATCACCATATCTTACACGTGTCCAAACGTAAAGCGGGGCACGTGATGTTAACAAAACAAAGCTAAGAGCCACAAGAAATTTTCTATAGCTTGTCTAGCTGACGGTTACCAGAAAGCAAGTCAGCTAACTAAGTACAAAACACAGCGAGCGGTAGCAATTGGCTACCAGTTAGCCAGGTTAGCTAGAAACGATGAGAACGTACCGTCTGTTGCTAGTGACACTTGTTCCGGAGACAGCAGGAAAGAAGAAACGCTCTCTTTTTCAGAAAACGTTTCAGTTCTTTAATCCCTGGTCTCACTGCAGTGCCGTCAGTTACTTGCCAACTTATTTTTCCTCTGTCTTCGGTCCCACCTATCCTTTCCGTTTCGAACGACAACAGCTCCTACAGAGCTCGCTCTGTTGTTCACAGTTCTCGTTCTGGCTCAGAAATTCAAATCATATCGCGAGATTTAGAGGAAAGCGGGTCCACAGGACCAGAAAATCTTGTATACAGTTATTGGACAACTGAACTTGACTGCATAGGACTAATTGGTTTCTATTACCATGGTTTACTTACTTATTGTTTAACATGGAAATTGGCCACTGCTACTCTTAAATTATTATTATTATTATTATTATTATTATTATTATTATACCAGAACAGGTTTCTTACAGCACATGAAAGATCTTGCAGACAGGTCAGCCGTAAACATACAAACCTAATCCATGCAAGAGAGGATTACACTGTACATCATAGGTGCACACACAAGACGAAGTGACAAGTGAGTGGATAACAATTTTACACTTCTGATTATTAAATTAACTTTCACCCTCAACGCCATATTAAAACAAACCAAAAAGGAAAAAAATGTCTATATTTGAAGCTAGGATTCCTTATAGACAATTATAGATAATTAATAGGACAGTTTGCCAAAAAGTCTGAATAAGACTGAAAATCATGTGGCAGCTGGAATCTAGGGTAAGCTGGAGGCTTTTAAATCAATAGATGCAGGTCAGTGTAAGCACAAAGTCCCTGTTTATGCTGTACATTGTATAGCTGCCTACACAGGACTAATCAGGCTACACAAGAACTTCATCCTTATACCCCAAAAGAAAACCACAACCATAGTTAACACAAAGATCCCTCTGAGAACTGAAGGCACATATAGCACCAATGGTGATTTACATGTATCTCTCAGTGAGGATGAAATGTATTTAATGAAAATCCTTCCTCTGTGAACCATAAACTGATATGAACACACACCATAAGCAGCAAAGCTGGATAATCCTATGAAATCCCAGTGGAACATTGTTTTGGGTCACCCATGTACTGGATTGGGTTTTGAAATATGTCCCACAGCTTAAAGCAAGGACTAAATCAGGCAAGTGTGAGGGGAGATGCAGAAAGAACCTAGAGCATCTATAAAGCCAGAAGCTGGGGTTATGTATAAAAGATATTTTAGTCCACTAGAGCAATCAGGCAGTAATCACCATGGTCCTGATAAAAACACAGATTCTAGGTAAAAAGGAATGTGTGAGGAGGTGAGATTAAAGCACTGTTCCAAAATTTTAGGAAAAATAAGCATTTGACTCACAACTACATCCAAAAGTGCACAAAAATGGAACATTGGATTGATAAAATGTTTTGTAGACATTCGAAGAAACAGGAACTCTTTTCTTACTGCTGCCTCAACTTCGTATATACGAAATCATACAAAAACCCTCTGCTGTGGTTGGAAAGTGTCAATGAGTAAGACAGAAGATGGGATACTACTATTAATAATTTTAACAGTTCACTAATTTGTAGTGTAGGAACATGAACACAGATTGTGAGGTAAGAAGAACTGTTGAAACTTCAAGACAGGATACAATAAACAGATAACAGCACACATACCCACTCAGGGCACTCTTCATCAGAATACCTATGGTGTCCCTGAAAGGTCAAATGCACTGCATTTAAAGGAAACACCACCAAATAGAAAAAACAAAAGTGACAAGCCAAAAGTGAACGGCTCATAGCAAACATGTACTAGAGTATAATATAAATCATGCGATTACAGCACACATTGCTGTGGACTTTTTCCTCTTTCACAAGTGTTCTCCGCTTCAGTGCAATGCTTCCCGTTTTGGTTCAGTCACATTGACGTCCCCCCAAACACACTTCTGTTTTGTGTTTTTACAGCGTTTTTCCATTTGCTGATGCTTCATTAAGCTGACCTTTCAAGGGCAACAAAATACACAGCAATTGGCTTCCACACATTACAAAACAAATAAGAGTACAACTGTTTGCTTTAAACTCAATTGTTAAGAGCTGATGAGACACTTCCTCAAGCCTGCCCCACTATCAACCTTCAATGTTAATTTAATATTTTTTTTTTTTAAATCAGTATTATCAGAATCTTAAAAGTGAAACATTTTTTTATTCCAGGAAAGTTTCTATGGAACAAAACAGGATCCAATCAGTCTGGATACTAATCAATTCAACACACTGTTTGTCCTTTTATTTAATAGTCAATTTTTCTGCATGTAGTCCAGCAGGCCCTTTTTTTTAGCGAAACAAGCATGAGATCAAATGTATGATGACATAGTTCACAGAAAAGTGTGTAATCTGGAAACTGCTGCCTGAGAGCGACACCTGGTGGAGGAAAGCTGGCTGTGCTTTAAAATAGAACCAATACATTAAATCAACTCTTGACAGCAAATAATTATGTATGACCTGTAGCTGTTGACAACTGCAGTAATTTACTAAACAGAGAGCCCAAATTATTTATTGAGTTTATTACAGCCAGTAGTTTACGATACAAATCACCTTTCAAGATGCCCAGCTGCCACCTTCCTAAAGTGGGTGGATATTCTGAGCACTGACACAGTAAAATGACATAAAACAGAGGAATGCATTCAAATTTAATTATCTCAATTTTCTCTATTTTGCTATTTTTTTTTTCAACAAATTTTTGTTTATGATCAAGGTCTAGTCAAACCATCGCTAGACCTGGCAGAGTCAATCGTTTTCTTTTTTTTTTTTTTTTTTTAAGAAATAATTTATCATTTTGCGATGTTTTCAGAGTTTTAGGTTTTTCAATGTTTAAGTTTTTTTTTCTTTTTCCATCGGTGAAGCAGGTTTCAAAATGCTCGATCTGCAAGAGAGAAAAACACAGGGCTCAAATACACATTTGCTTCTTCTCTTTAATATGATTTGCACACCAACAATTTATGAATGAACCTAAAATGTCTCTCCTGAGAACACACCTTAGACGCTGGGAACACCAGCAGGGGTGGAGGACTTCTGAGCAGCCTCCTTGGCCTGGTGGGCCTGGAGCACAGCAACAGCCTCATCCACCTGCAAAAGCATTACATTTATGAAACCAATTTATATGTTGCACTTCCCATTAAACATCAGTTATGAGGTACATAGGCCATCTGTAGCAATTTAATCCTTTACGAAATACCACATTTATTAGAAATTACTTGTTTCACTAACCTTTGAGCGCAACGACTCAGGTGACTCAAGCATGTGAAGCAGCTCTGAGTTGTCAATCTCCAGCAGCATACCAGTGATCTTGCCAGCCAGGCTGGGGTGCATGTTCTGGATCAGAGGGAACAGACGCTCACCTAAAGGGGAGGAAGAAGTCAACAATTAAATACAGAGTATAACGTGCCATGAGCATTTACACTTATTTCCTTATAATCTGAACTAATTATTTACCCAGCATCTGCTTCTGTTCCTGAGGTGGGGCTGCAGCCAGCATGGAGGCAGTTAGAGGCTCCTGTCCTTGGACATGGACTGCCGGCTGAAGAAGGAGGAGGGGGGGGGGTGTTAATGACTACACAATCACACTTTTACCACTTGAAGCAGACCGTGAATTACAATGACCCATATAGTCATGAATACTTGTATTACTTTTTGCTTATTAAGCAGCACATAACTGTGCCAGGTTCTAAAGTCTGAACCCCACTTGGGGAGAGGGGAAATAAAATTAATAATTATAAAAAAATTAATCAGTACAACTGCATTTAATGTTGAATATCCTGAAGGTGTACATTTAGAAAATTTGCAGCAATTATATTTATGAATTACATCCACTGATATCAAAGTCAGTGGCATTCTTACCTGCTGCATGGTGACCTGTGGCTGGGAGGCCATGTGCTGCTGAGGGTTGCGCACACCAGCAGCATATTTGTACTGGGGCATGGCACGCACTGGGGCTGCGGCGGCTGAAGCATTGGCAGGGCGCTGGTTGAGCGCCTGTGTGGCTGCAATGACAACAGCAAGAGGAGCCTGATCAAAACTGCATCAACTCATCATCGGCTCGTGAGGAGACTAAATGCATCTGATTCCTGTCAAGTCAAAGATAAAATACTTACGCATACGCTGAGAAGCCATCATGCGTGGGACCTGGGTGTTGGTGGTGGCGGTTGCACGGATGGTGTTTAAGGCCTGAGGCCTGGGTGCTGTTGGGCGCATAGCATTGGGCATGTTCTGGAAGTCTAAAAGAAGGAAAGGGGGGATGGGGGGGAAGCAAACAGTCATTAGACTTTAGCTCTTTTTAAGTAAAGGCTGCATACGTATAATCTACATGTAATCACTTACGCTGAGGACGCACTCCTTGAGTAGCCCAACGGGGGCTGGGGCGCAGCTGGGCCAGCTGGTTGGCAGAGTAGTATGCAGCACGGTTCTGAGCCTGAGAAGAATCAAGCCATGTCATTAGTTACTGCTACTCCAAAAAACACAGCACACTGGTACAGTTGACCAAAACAGAGTTTTATGTCATGGAAAAGTACTAAATAGGGTGTTGTTGACTCACCTGAGGGATAGCCGCCATGAAATATCCTGAAGGTGGAGCAGGCTGGTATGGGTTAAGGACAGGGTTGGGCACAGCTCGAACAGTGGCCATCCTTTGCATGTACTGGTTGGTTAGATGAGCCTGACGCTCCTCTTTCCGCTGGGCAAGGGCCACATACAGTGGCTTTGTAGCCACAATACGCCCATTCATCTCTGTTACAGCTTTAGTGGCCTCTTCTGGAGAAGAGAAGCACACAAAGCCAAAGCCTTTGCTCCGTCCACCCTCCATCATCACCTAGGGAAACAAAAAAAATGGGTTAGCATTTTGTCTAATTATTGCCGTGTTAATTTCACGATCACAAATAAACCCCTCAAAGCTTTTACCTTAGCACTTGTTATGGTGCCAAATGGGGAGAATTCTTTGCGCAGACGCTCGTCATCAAGGCCATCATCCAGGTTCTTCACATACAGATTGACACCCTGGTACATGGAAAATCACAATGAAACTGTTGGACGGTAGTTCAGCATTCCTGCTACTGTCCTTCAGGTTATGCTCCAACATCACAGCAATGAAATTAAATATTGCACCAATCAGACGCAAGATAGCTTTCCTTAAATTGTTCTTGTGACACAATGTGGTGCATGAAAGTGCTCTAACCAAGAAATGGGCCAACAAACCTGATATCTGGTCATGCGATCCTGTTTCATCTGCTCAAATTTGCGTTTGAGCTCATTCTGCCGCTCCCCTTTCTTCTGTGCACGGCCCACATAGACTTGCCTGCCATTCAGTTCTTTACCGTTCATTTCATCTACAGCCTACAACAAAACAAAAGTCATGATTAGGTTTGGATTCAAAGAATAAACTACAGCAAGTGCCTTTTTCAAAGCCTCTGGAGATACCAAAAGTCCCCCGCCTCCCAAGAAAGAACAAAGCTGTTAACCTTCTGGGCATCTTCATGCCTCTCGAAGCTGACAAAGCCAAATCCCTTGGATTTGCCACTTTCATCAGTCATAACCCGGATGCTGAGGGCAGGCCCTACAAAACACAAGAGCTAATCAACACATAACACAGCAAATCATACTAACAGCATTTGTGATTATTAAAAGTGTGTCTCTGAAATCTTGCCATCTTACCATATTTGCTAAACAACTCCTTCAGCTTCTCATCATCCATGTCCTCGCCAAAGTTCTTGATATAAACGTTAGTAAACTCTCTGGCTCGTGCTCCAAGCTCAGCTTCCCTCTCTTTACGCGATTTGAATCGTCCAACAAATCTGTTAATAACATGACATACAAAATTTATTTTCTAACTTCATCAAAATATATTCTGATAAAGTTTAAATCAAATACAATGGGGTGAAAGTCCTCCTGTGTTGGTAAAATGAGCGTCAGACATTGAAGAGAGCATTTTGGGAAAACAACATACAGCTTATGTAATAAGGAGTGATAACTCTAGAGCTACTGCGATAAGTGAACTTCACTGCTTCAAACCAAAATGTAATAAATCCTATCAGCTCAGTTCCCTCACGATTTAAAACTAAGCTCTATAACAACAAAGTACATTAGGCAAAACAGGAGAACAAGATGCAGTCACACACAAACTTTGATCACACTCCTTCAAACACAGACTTGTACAACAGTAGGCACACTTACACTTTTCTGTCATTGAGCAACATGCCGTTCATTTTCTCAATGGCCCGTTCAGCAGCTTCATGGGTCTCAAAGTGCACAAAGCCGTAACCCTTTGAGCCATTTTCATCACAAACCACCTTGGAGAAGGAAGATTTTAGGAGGTCAAAACCATTCACAAACAACATGCATTCCACACAATTGAAACTCTACAGGCTTTAAACGGTCCAATCATTAGTCATGCTAATTAGTTGATTTCATATACAAAACACAGCCAGAAGAAATGGCACCACAGGATGATACCTTGCAGGACAGGATGTTTCCAAATGCAGAGAATGTATCATACAAGGCCTTGTTATCGATGGATTTGTCCAGATTCTTGATGAAGATGTTTCCCACCCCACTCTTCCTCAGTGAGGGGTCACGCTGAGACCACATGATACGGAGAGGCCTGCCTTTTATTACATCAAAGTTCATGGTGTCCAAAGCTCTTTCGGCTAAAACAAATAAACAAATATGTTGCACTTACTTCCATTTTCTTCGTGATTTAATTATTCTAGTAGTATGGCATGTTGATAATTTAATAAAGCACATGTTTAAAATTAAAGATAAAACGAGGTAGCACGGTACATGTTCAAAATGGAGTCTGTCAGTACCACATTTCCTTACATGCTCGACATAGATCGCGGTAAACTTACCGTCAGCTGGCTGTTGGAAGTTCACATAGGCATAGCCTAGGGAGCGACGGGTGATCATGTCTCTGCATACTCTAATGGAGAGGATGGGTCCAGCCGGGCTGAATTTCTCGTATAGCATGGCTTCGGTAACGTCTGGGTGCAGGTCTCCCACATACAGGGAGGCCATCGGGTAGCTAGGCGCGCTGGGATTCATGGCTGGCGAAGCGTGTTCTCAGGCTACGTCTCAACTGCAAGTTCGATATTTTGAGGACAATCGTCAACCAAAATCAGCCTTTTAAGATTTGAGAGATTATTTATATCCGTCTCTACACCAATGCAGGCAGTTATCGCTTAACCGTTAACAACGTGGGCTAGTTAGCGTGATTAGCAAAATGTCGGAGCGTGGCCTAACCGATGTGACTGGCCCAAATTGAAATGTCAATTTTTGCAATCACTTACAGCACTCAAATTTCGGTAGCTTGCAAAACAAATGTTATAATTAACACGTATGCCTGAAAGGACAACTGACTTCAACGTAAAAAACAAGTAGTTAACAATATACCTGGCTAAAGTTAATCGCCCACGCTTTCAACAATGAGGCTAACAGCTTAGCTTGCTAACGTTCTTCTCGTTCAGTCTTTCTTTCTTATCCGTTGGCAGCGTCTTCTTCGCGTTGCTTGAGTTGGCAAATCAAATCCTGCTTCACCGATTTTTGTTTTTCTTATAAAAATATGTCTGCGTGTGCTCTCTAGCTTTTGGTTTGTTTCATAATAAAATGTGTGCCGAGACTAGCCCCAGAGCACACCCTACGCAGACGGATTACAGGATTGAAAGAAAGGTCGGCGGAGGTTGTTTCCCTGTTCCACTCGAAACCACGGCGCGTTTGCTACCAATGCTTGACGTCACACATCTCGCGATATTTGAACTCTATATTTAATTTACAATTAAAAATCTGACGCATAATCTGTCTCATAAACGTTTAAGATTTACTGTTTTCTACACCTTACGAGGCTTATATGTTCAGTTATGTCTTCAACATTGTATTCTAATTGGCGTGTATTCACGAATTTCTTGTGATTATTCGCCTATAAAAGCGAGGGGAAAAGGAACAACAAGGGCATACTTGTGGTGGCAAAGCACAGACCACGGACGCTTGGGGCAGAGACTACCTGGTGTCCTAAACAACGCTACTTCCATCACGTTTCGGTCAGCCATTGCCTTTTCTGATTACTGGGACGTAGTCCTGGAAAACGAAAGACATTATCTAAAATATAAAGCGTTATCCTTCACATGCAGTGAACATGTAACCTTTGTCACACCACAAGGAAGATAAGCTGAGGGAAACGTCTGCAGGAACACTCCCGTGTCATTTATTGCACTCGTGTTCACTGGAGGGTTGGTTCTGAAAGATGCGGCAGCAACTCAGCATTTCTCTGACATGGCTGTGCTCTGGGCGCTCACAGCTAAGGTAGTGAAGCAGCAGACACACCCAAGGAGCCGAGCAGCACAAATTTTTCGTTTTTCCTTTTTCTAGATTTTCCAAGTATTTTCAGCTAAACAACACGTGTACTTCTAAATCCCATCAAACAGCTTTCAGATGTGTATAAGGCGTTTTAGTGTTTGAATTTCTCCATCTCCAATTTCCAGATGTGGTCTGTGTTGTAGTGTTGTAGAGTAGTTATTTACCGGTATTTGTAACTAATCCATTATATTAGATTCTGCATGTCGTTTATATTGCTGCGTGGAAAAAAAGGTGGGTATAGTGGTAACTTGTAACACAAATCCCACCAATGTAGCAATGAAATGGACACATTAAACTTAATTATTTTTTTTATTCCACTTACATGAAATTACACATTTCCCCCAAAAATTACAGTTATGCTTGGGTGTCCTGTAAGAAAATTCCAAAGACAGACAAAGCTAACCAGCCCAACAACAACCTTCTTTACTCCTCCAAAAACTACTTCTTACCACCATGCAGTTCAGGCAAGTACTGAGAAAAAGGAAAAAACAAAACAAAATGTCTTAATTTGAAAAAGCATTAATTAGATACGCAGATGGATCTTTTTCTTTTTTTTCTTTTTTTTTTTAAACTGCCGTGCCAATACAAAACAAAAACAATACAAGCTTGTGTGCTCGTGCTCTTTTGTTCTTCAAAGTTTTCTATACCTCATAACTGATGCATAAAAATACAAGAGCAGTCTACTAAAAACAAACAAAAAAGATAGTAAGAGTAGAAAGTTGAGCAACAGTATGTAGAATGTAACCTTGTCTTCCAACTAAATCTTGGCTTCCTTCTCCCAATCACATCTTCACTGTCTTTACCTCTGCTGTTATTCCCCTTGCCATGTACAAACTCAGTTGTTGTCACCTCAAATATAAGGAGGCAGCTCCTGTTTTTGTCAAGCACAAATGTGTCATCAAAGGATGGTCAAAAACAGCACCGTTAATGAGTAGTACAGCACATACAGCTTAAATATTTTCTTACTTCTACAAACTTAACCTGCTGCATGTTTCATGAGTTTAAGAAACTGCCCTTTCACCCAGCACCTTAATAATGCAACACCCAAAAACATCTAAACCCAAACACTTTTACCCTCCCACCACACCACTTGAATTCCCCTCCCCTTTCCCCACAGTTACTACAAAAAGAAGGAATAGTAAACCGATGGGAATGAGATGAGTACTGAGAGACCTTAGATAGAAAAAAAGATGGAAAGAGTTGGATGACAATGATCAAAATGAGGTGGTCTCAGTGTTGATGATCATAATGAAGATGAGCCAGGACAATGGCAGGACAACAGGGATGACTACGGGGGTCTGGCTCAATCTCTTGGCTCTGAATCCTCGCCTTCAACCTGGTTGTCCGAGGTCCACAGCTGTGGAAAGAGAAGGAGCAGTAAGTGGGAAGAAAGGAATTAATGACCCGGCAGAGGAGAGGCAAACATGCAAGGACAGCAAAAATCATTAACATCTAATCTTAAAGGAATGTTAAAATACAGACCTATGTTAAATAACTTATTTGGGACTACCAGAGCTGACCACAAAGTTTTAGTCTGAGTCAGGTAAATCATTTTGTGAAGAAAAATGTCATTTCAGTAGTAAGATTTAAGAAATGTAACTTACCGTCAAGTTATCTCTCAATAGCTGCATGATTAGTGTGCTGTCTTTGTATGAGTCTTCACTCAGGGTGTCAAGCTCTGCAATGGCGTCGTCAAAGGCCTACAGGGTTCAAAAACACAGTTCGGTGAGATTTCGATAGCCTAAAACAAGCTGTTGTGTTTGTGTACACAGGTTTTAGCTGTCATTTGTATTTAACAGCAAATTTACACTTGAGTCCTCAAAGATTGATAGCAGAGAAATAACATTACAGTTAGCACTTTAAAATCTCCAGAAATGTAAACAGAAGCAATGTGGAGTAATGAGTTTACCTGCTTGGCGAGCTTGCAGGCTTCTTCAGGTATGTTGAGGATCTCATAGTAGAAAACGGAGAAGTTAAGGGCAAGACCAAGACGGATTGGGTGTGTGGGCTGCATTTCACTTTTGCTGATATCAAAGGCGGCTTGGTAGGCTTCCTGTGAATTTGAAATGATGCCTGAAAGAGAAAGGAAAGGGCAGTGGAGCTGCGTTTTCAAACTATTTACCACAGATGTCCTGTCCTGTTCACACACACATCTGACTGGTTTAACCCATGGGGACCTGCACAGACTTCCATTATGCATTTTAAAAAGAACAGAACTTAATATAAAACTAGACTGTATAAAAGTATAAAATACAATTTTCAGCCATGTTCCCAGTATTAGTAGTTTAGTAACTTTAAAGAGACCATCAAAGAGGGAATGCATCGGTCTCATTTGTAGACACTGGCATGCTTTCTTTCCCCCAACCACTAGGGGGCATCTGGGTCAAAAAAAAAAAAAAAGTAGGAAATCCCTGAAAGGACCATAATGATTTGATCCCAAGAAAAATATTCAAGTAATCCAAGCTGGTCACTGTAGACCAAATAAAAGGTATCGTATGTAAAAAAATAAATAAAAGAACCTATGCTTCAATGTAATCTTTTTCAAAGTTTTCTAAAAACTGACAGCAACTACCAAAGATCTTTTAGCCCTTAGTACATTCATCCTACCTCTTACTCAAGGAGGACATTTTGACACTTCAGAATTAGAATCTCTATTGTCATTGTAACAAGTCAACAAAATAAAGTGCAGTCCCTGTGGTGTTAAGAGAAAAATGTTTAAATATAATTACAAAAGAATAGTATAAAGAAAAGAGCACAGTCATTCAGTACACTCCGATACTTTCACAAGTTAACTGATATCTTATCTAATATGTATATTTCAGTTTATCTCAGTCAGCCAAAGATCTAAACCATCACCATACTGAAATGGAGCTTACCTTTCTTGGTGTCTCCTGTAGCCACCTCCGCTAGGTAGCGATAGTAATCGCCTTTCATTTTCAAGTAAAAGACTTTACTCTCTGCTGCTGTAGCGTTTGGAATAAGATACTTGTCCAAGAGACCCTGTTTGAAAACAAAAACAGACAGCAAAGTTTTAGAAAACAATGGACTAAGATATTTAATATAATAGGCAAGGCAAGTTTATTTATATAGCACAATTCAACAACAAGGTGATTCAAAGTGCATATAAAACATGTTATCTAATATATGTAAGTAGGGCTGTTCGATATAACGATATATATCGGACGACGATATAAAACGTCTATTGTTTCATTTTCCGCTATCGTTTGTTTCGTGGTGTCGCAAAATAATCTGTTTACGGCAATATTTTTTCATCGTTTTGATGGTCACTGTAGTGGCTATATTAATTTCTTAAAGTTCTCTCTTTCTCTTATGTTTAATATAACCACAATACGGACGGACAAGCAACTGTTTTTATGCGTTGTCGTTAGCAACAACGACGGTAAAACCATCACGCCGTCCGCTTGTTTATTTTCCACATAAAACATAAACCTTTCACAATAAAGCTCAAGATCCTGTTGAGACTTTTCAAAATAAATTGAATCACGTGAAACAGTATGCAGTGTTTACAGATGAGAAGCAAAAAAAGAGCCATCAGGTGCCAAAAAATAAACCTTAGACTCAAATGTTAGAACAGGCTTTTCCCCGCAGCACGCCGTGTAATAAATACTCAAAGAAAATTGCGGCCATTACAACTTATGTCTAAAAATGTATAGTTTCACGCATCGGTTGAAACACTCGACTCCAGGTACACAACGCCCAGCTGAAAACACTTCATGCAAGTCGAGCTGCCCGAGATTCACAGAATTGACAGAAAATGTTAAATTTTTGTCATTTATATCGTTGTCGGGACGATAGACATCTTATACCGGGATATGACATTTTGGTCATATTGCACAGCCCTATATGTAAGCACGTTTTACAACATTGAAGCCAAAACGGCAGCAGTCATCTGTGACCTTTATTGTAAATGTATGCATAATGCATTGACAAAAAACTGTATTCTTACATCACGTGCTGTTAATATTCAATTTCTACTCATCACTTGTTTCCTGAGCCTACAGGAGAAGCTAAAGGTATTTCTGCCTAGTCCAATTAAAAACAAAAACGTGGACAGGCTGAATGGACAAGTGTGGAGTAAAGATGGTTGCGATGGGAAATTTGTGGCAGAGGAAAAAAGAGGGCGTGGATGAAAAGCAACAGGGGTGAAGGAAGAGGAGAAAGCCAGGCTGCTGAACTCCTGATGAGCTTTTGCTTAGAAGTAGGTCACTCAGAACCCAGCTCGGCTCTTCACCACACAAGGATGCACCACTTGGTACCCTAGTTCTGAGGGTAACATGAATACTAGCAGGCAGGGAACAGAATACCTTTCTTTAGTGGGAGTGTGCCTTGGTAATGTGCTATATTAAAGAGCAATGAAACAATATCAAACATTAACGGTAAATGGACTGATTCTTATATAGCACTTTTCTACTCTCCCGGAGTACTCAAAGCGCCTGTATACAACGATGAATGAATACTTTAATTTTAATTTTAATGTAGTTTCCATCTGGCCATTTGCACTTCTCACAAGAGCTGTGCAATAAAGAGATTACAGATGGCAAAGCAGAATTGTTCCTTGTAGCATTGGTGACCAAATGTTAAACCTCCATTAAAATAACATCTTGATTTATATGTTTTCACAGGTCTTAAATATGACCTCCAAAAACATGATGAGCTGAGTTTTGTTCCTTGGGAAAAATAAATGTTGCAAGATAGAAATACATTACAAAAATGGTCTAAAAGCATTTCGTGAGTGCTGTTACACTGATGTGACTGAACAGAGAAGCCCTCTGGGATGTCAATGTAGGTCTGGGCCACTGGCAAGGCTAAAATCAAAACTACAACCATGGCATGATGGGGAGTAAATAAAAAACAAACAAACCCAACAACAACGTAGCAGCAACTCTGCTTTCATTACATTTTTATCTTAAGTTCTATCCCCAAGTTAAGAACAGAGAGTTATTACTAAAATATGGAATAACTTAATATTTCTAAACATGACAGTAATGCACAAACTATGTCTGCATGGAGATTCCTTCCAGTTAACACGTGGTTCCTCATCTTATTCATGCCAGTGAGAGTGAGCATCAGGGTGTGTGCACACGTGTTTGTGCAGGCACCATGAGGCAGGAGCACTCACTGCTACAATTATATTATGTAACAAGTACTAACATCACATTGCTTAAAACCAACCTTAAAAGAAGAAATTTAAGTGAAATATTTTGCATCCTCAGTAATGTTTGCACTTTCTGTGACAACAGCTTTTTTGTCCTGCTACTAAGAACAGGAATAAACATGTCTTTAGACTGGGCCAGATGAAAGCTCACAAACTAGTCCACTTAAAGTACGCACTGCTGGTGCACTTGTCCCACACCCCTTATGTGCCCATTTGGCTCTCTCTTTCAGTCCCCATAAGGCTTTTTGGCGGAAGTGGAGAGCAGTGAGCCAGAACATTTGTAGCTCAGCCTCTGTCATTATAGGATTAGGGCTCAATGAGTCACCGGGCAGATAATGCGCAGGGAAAGGGATGAACAGAAGCAGAGCTCCGACAGATGGATAGAGTACTTAATATGTTTGCAAAAATTATAAAAATAGTTAACACAAAAACAAGTGGCTAAGATCAGTAGAAAAAGTAAACTATTAGTGGAGTTAACAAATGCATCTTTTTCAAAAATACAAACACTTCATCTGGTAACAGAATGTAGATGCAGCAAGCTGATCAAGCCAAAAGAAAGATGAGGGCTTTGTAACCCTCCAAACAGATAACCATGTGTGCATTTATATTCCCAGTAGGGACATGCACGATTAGTCAACTAATCATTAGCGTTTTTCAAGCATTCATGCTACTGTGAATGCATTCACAGTATTGTTCTTCTAATCTTTATTATTATTTTAAAATTTTATTATCTATTCCGTATGTTTTTTAGACTCCTGGTAGAGTGGGAGGAGGGGGGAAATTTATCTTAAAATCTTTTCTTAAAACTGCTGCTGTGTCCGCATCGTTTGCTCTACAGATATGATTTTACACTCAAAACGTAGCCATCGCTGCCCTCTTTCATCCAATGTGTTTATTATTGTAATAGGTGTTATGGTTCTTTCATAAATGTCACCAATGCACAGCCTCTTCCCTCCAACTCTTTCAGGGTCAGAATTTTGTCAATACGACTTGTACTTTTCATTTGGGAAGGATTTGTTTCGGGCTGACTTTTCTGTTTATTTTAAGCAGCAGAAGTGAGGCGCATGTCTGTGTGCGTGTGTATGGAGCCATTGGGTGCAGTCACTATAGCAACCAGGCTCACACCTGCCTGCTTAACGAGCTCTGTCTCTCACTCTGCCAAGATTCATCTTAAACACTTCTCTTTCAACTGCTGCTGTGTCCACAGTGTTTGCTCTACAGCCATCATTTTACCCTCAAAATGTAGCCATTGTTGTTCTCTTTCCAACAGCGTGTCTTTCAAAGCTCAGAGTTGTAAACTTTTTAAACTGTGTGGATCCAAGTGGAGGGATCACATTTTAGTCATTCAGTGATTCAAAGAATATGAACTTTTAATATTCATTCAGATGTTTTCGGACTCTAAATTTTATTTTGTTATTACTCATCTTTTTCTAATTTACATTTTAAACATGTTCAGCTATTTTCCAACTTCTTCTGTCTGAACATCAGCTTTCGAAAGTTTTGCACTTTTGTTTTCAGGTTAAAAATTCTGTATTTTCCAGCTCATTCAACATTTTTAACTTAACATTCAGCAATTAATTCATTTCAGTGGATACATTCAGATTTCAGCATTCACACTGCAGTTTCTTCAGAAAATGCACTTTCTAGTTACTATTGTCACTAGCTGGTACCAGATGTAATAGTTGTTTAATCTAATTGTCTTACATTTTATTTTCTAACCACTGCCGGTGAATAGCGTGTCCTAATGTTATGCAAACATCTGTCACCAGATCAAGAAACGCCAAAAAAACATTTATCTTGGCCTGATTTTTTTGTTAACACCATTACTGTTAGTTCTTTTAAAGACAAAAAAAAAAAAAAGATCAGAGAGACAAGCAGCATAACTGAGCGTTATTTGAGAGGTGGATGTGCTTTCCCTTCTTTATAGGATGAGGAGTTCAGTCACTCGGGAGGGGCTCAGAAGAGAGCCATTCCTCCTCCACATCGAAAGGAGCTAGCTGAGGTGGACAGGTGCTGTCCTACCCAAAGGAGCCCCCAGGGTACATGACTGCATGATTGCAAGGTGCCTCACAGTTGGGCAGCATGACTCATTACTGAAGAATGTGACTAACGTTTTAAAAAAGCCTTTGCTTGGAGTTTTTTTTGTAGTTGAACGGTTCTTAAATTTAACCTGAAATCTGAGTGTTTTTGTTTTTAAATAGCCAGTTACTTGATTTTTTTTTTTGCCTCATTTAGTTGACAAAGAAATTAGTCGCCAGGAACATCCCTAATTCCCAGCATGCTAAACTTGGAATCTCGAGTTTACTTCAACTGGACAGTCCAAAGTAGAGACTCAAGTTGTCCCTGGTAACTAAAGATAAAGGGCCTTTCTCAATATGCGTACTTGCCTTCTCGTGTACTTGTGATACGTCATCAGTCGGAGACCAAGTACTGTTCCAATTCGAAGTAAGCATCAAGCCGAGAACGCGAAAAAGTCCCGGATGTGTTCTCGCTCCGCCCGTTTTATCGAGCATGCATCGGTGGTGACTTGTGTGGACTTGGTACAGCTAAATATCCCAGAATGCATTTCGTCCAAAACTCAAACGCGGCAATGGTGGACAAGCGGGGCTAAAAACTTTTAAATATTACTCTTTCTGGGTCACAAAATAAAGTATTAAGTTCTTTTCAAGCGAGAATGTAGCTGTGTAAACTTCAAATATATGCTCGATTTATCAAGATATCATATATTTCCAAACGCGCTCCGACGTTTTCAGAGACGTCTGTGACCCGCCAGCTCCATAGCAGACAGCGAGGTCGAGGATTATTACAGCCGGCAAGAACAGCGGACTCCCGGCACATCGTTTTCAACCCCCTCGCGGTCTTTTCGCTACTCAGGTTTAACAAACCCCAAGTAGCTGTCTATTGTATTGAGTGTCCACTAAAATAAAAATAAAAGCGTTCTAACATCTCACCTGCTTTTTTTTATTAAGGTATGTACACGTATGTACATGTACACTATTTTTATTAAGATGTGGCTGTGGCTCAGGAGGTAGAGTGGGTCTTCCACCAATTGAAATGATCAGTGGCTTGATCACTGGCTCCTCTGTTCTGCATATCAAAGTATCCTTGGGCAAGACCCTGAACCCCAAGTTTTCCCTTATGCATCCATTGGAGTGTTAATGCTAGAAGGCGCTTTAGTGTATAAAAATGTACTTGTATGTGTGTAAATGTGTAAGTGATTTGGTGAAGTTTGTAATAGAAAGTGCTTTCATTAATCAATTAAAAAAAATGGAGAGAAGTGTGCTGTATAAGTACTAGTCTTAAAGATACGCGCTCTTTCCATTACAATCTTTGTAATATTTACAGAATACTTCTGTAATCATATTTTTGGGCATCAAGATAAACACCCTTTCCACAATGGTACAAAAGTAAAAATACAGCAAAGCTGACTTTGCCAAGAGGACAAGTAAAGTATGTTAGGATATTCAAATGAGAAGATGCTGATAGACTCATTACATACATCAGTAAGGTCAAATGCAAACCACTATTGCCGAGATGATCTTTAACAATAACTCAATTATGTTCTAGCATTGAGGTCACAGCAAGGATGGTGTACTGTTAGACTGAATTATTTCTATTACACCCCCCCCCCCTCCCAACCTGGGGAACACAGTTCATGCTAATCTTTAAGCAAATTCCCATTATTTTTCCTGTGCCTTTGGTGGAATATTTCTGTGGAAAATCACCACAGCCTCAACTTTAAAGATTTCAGCAACATATTAAAAGTATATGTGTAACAAATTTTCATGACTTTGAGTTTATCATTTCAAAGGTTCTCTTGACCCTCTGCATCTCCTCCATCCATTAGTCTGTTGTGAGGCCTTTCTGCTCATCACTACTAGCTTCAGCTTCAATAGCCCATTTCCTAGTACCACACCATCCACCATCCCTCCACTGCAAATGTCCAAACAATCTCAGCCATGTCTCTTAACCCCCCCAATCTAAAAGAAAAAATAATGAATTAATAATAAATGAATCTCACCAGGACATCATGGCAGATTTCTTTCAGCTCAGTCTCAATCTTCTCCCGGTAGTCCTTGGCTAAGGCTACCTTCTTTTCAGAGCCCTCGGTCTTCTGCTCAATGCTGGAGACCACGCGCCACGAGGACCGACGGGCACCCACCACATTCTTGTATGCCACTGACAACAGGTTGCGCTCCTCGTTTGACAGCTCCAGGCCTTCCTCTGTCACAGACTTCATCAGAGCAGCCATGTCATCATAACGCTCAGCCTGCTCGGCCAGCTTGGCCTTTTGCACCAGTTCCTTCTGAGGTGCCTCAGACATGACTGTTCACTGGAGAACATAGAAAAGGTTGAAATCAGTTAAGTTAAAAAGTAGTATGACAACTCTTCTGTTCCACCAGCAGATACAATTTTTCATTTCAGGGTCATTTAATGCGTCAAAGTGGAAATACAATAATGAATGTGGGTCCTTAAAAAAAAAAAAAAAAAAAACTGCACACATCACCTAACACGTTTAATTGAGTTTCCCCCCGTCTTTCAGTACCTTTACAAGGAACAACAATGATGCATACCGTGGAAGTTTTTCCTGTCATTTGAAGGATTTATTTATAGTCATAAAGAAAGACTGTGACCGACTGAAAAAAACTGAGATATTTCTGTTTAAGGGATACCTGTGCTTAAATAAGACCAGTAAACAAAGCTGTAGATCTATTTAATTAATATGCCAACAAAGCCTGCACAGCAACACTACAAGTAGCCACCTAAGCATCTTGTACAGTATTAGCCCTGCAAGTTACAGGGCAATGTGAGATCCTGTAGACTTGTAACAGAAGAACTGTGGAATACCAGCTAGAGTTTACAGCCTAAAGCACTATGTAGACTATGCACACATCAACACATAGGAATTGTCATTACTATGTCAATAGCTTACATCCGATTGACCTATCAAAAACAGCCAGTGGGTTTACACAAAAATCAATCCCTTTTTTCCATTCCAGTACATGTAGTGTAGTGTGTTGTGTTCAGATCCATCCTAACATACAGAAAATAATTCATTTCTTTTTTCAGTTCCAATCTTTGGCCAAATAAGCGAGGAAATTTTAAAAGATACTGTAACCGTCATGTTATCCGTAAGTAAACAACTTCTTATAACCGTAAGAGCACAAGTGTGTGAACAAGGAAGTCGATCTTTGCCCGTCAGTGTACCCCTCGCCTAGGAGCAGAATGCACCACGTTAATATGCATCGACTTTAATCAGCAAATAGATGTGCAGAAGGGATGATAAGAATAATATAATGCCAAGAGATAATTTAGTGGACACCGTACGGACAAAAATAAGAACTCAATCCTGTATTGCTGGCTCGCCTCTGATGCGCCTCTCTGTTCCTCCGGTACACACACCACACCCTTCCCTGTACCTGTGGCTTGCCCAAAAAGCGGAAGCTAAAGTGCGCAAAGTAAAGCGTGCTTGGACACATTATACTGGCATTAAAGTCACTATTGTAGCCGATACTGACCCAAAAGCGCTTCTCGCAAACTCAAACACACAATCTCACCGTAGAAACGCAATTCAGTGAATGAAAAAACAACCGCTACATTCAGGCCCGCGTGACTCGTTTCAAGTATGGCCCCGTCTATTTCCTGAAAGAGTAACGCCAGGCAAAAGTCTTGCATAAAAGTGACTACTTCATAGGTAGCCCGTCATGCTCACAATTTCAAATAAAATATCTACACACAATGTTAACTACAAGAATACAAGGAAAAACAGGAGACAGCTGAGTAGGCGCGACGCCTTTAAAAAGGTGTGTATCGCAGTTGAACTAAGCTAGCTGCTCGCCTGGTGGCACACAAGAAAATACATTTCAATTAACCTCGTTTTTCCTTTCAACACTAGGCACCTAATTGTAAAAACTTTCAACTTAAGATGACAAGCATCATACCGCTTAATTAATAAATCGCTAAATACCCTCGTTTTAAACAAAATGTGCCGTTTGTATGAGTGCCAAAATTTCAGAGCTTCAATTATTCGACAGACACGCCTTCTCCGTCTGCCATTTCCTTTTGAAACCAGACATTAGCCATATCCCACAATGTAACGTTAGCTAAGCTAGCCATGCCATTGTTCTTTAGATTGATGAGCGTCGCAAGACGCAACCCTGCTACCAACTGGAGACAATGAATCTCTATAGCTAGTCTGATTAATGAAAAGTCAGAAGACCTTAAGATGATACATACGAGTTTCAAAATGCACTTTAAAAAGCTGCAAGTCATTTCATACCTGAGTATTGGCAGATGTCAGTGTACCAAGCCACAGCTGATTCTCTCAGCCGCCCGACTGAATGCAGTCCACGGGGTTTCCTTCCAATCACATCAGTCCAAGGCACTGCCGGAGAAAAGGAGGGCTGACGTCAAACGTTACCATGACAACCAAAGCAAAGTAACATGGAAGTTGTAGTTCACCATTACTTCTCCAGTCTTTGTGAGGCAAATGAGTGCATATAATGTAGTCGACAAAAGCACCCTTTGAAGATTTCGCAGTTCATCATTTTACCGCTATGATACAGGCACTTGTGATTAAGCTTATTTTACTGCCTCCAGCAAGCGGAGAATTCCTCTTAATAAGACAGTTAACATCAGTGATACATCCAACATACAGATCTTTGTCTTACTGTATATCATCATTTTGTATAAGAGTAGAGACTGCAGACACCAAACACTAAGAGGAAATGTCAGTCACTGAATGACACTCAAGTAGCTATATATATATGTACAGATCAATTTTTATTAGAAGAACCATGTCCGTCACTCAAATGCCTCTGTGATATTTCCACAAAATAAAATATTTTCAATAAGATTATTTGCTAAGGATGCTGAGGGCATCACAAACTAGAACACAGGACACGGTTACAGTATATCTTGCTTAACAGAAACTACTATTTCTGCATTCTGGTTGGTTTCCAAGGGGAGAGAGTAAAGCTATTTTTGCCCTGTCACATGTTTTCCCCTTGGGCCAAGATTTCAAGCCTGTAACCTATTTAAGAGCAGAGCACATAGTACTGGGTGTAGAAAATCATAGGCATAAATGCAAAGAAGAAAAAAGATCTTCACACTTGTCAGTTTGTGGTCCAGGAAGGGCGTAGCACCAAACCAGAGTCATTTCGCAGAAAGGGAAAAAAAATAAGATTAAGCTGAGTGATTGCTTACATGTAACCGGTCGGGTGAGTTCTCATTCAGTCCATCAACCTTATCCACAGAACTTGAATGCACATGCACACACATGCACAAGATGAATGGGTACACTGCAAAAAGTCAGTTGTCACAGGGTCACTCAGCTTATGTAACATCTCTGATTGAAACCTTAAAGTGCTACAATAGAGTCTGATTGGTGTAATTAAGCAATAAAAACAGAACTAAACTAGACAATTAATAAAGGGATTTAAAAAAAAAACAACTAAATTTTGATCTTGGATCTACATGTCTTAGTAAAGGTAGGTACTCCTAAAAATCCTGCAGGGTATTTAGATTTCACAATGCTGACATGGTCCTAGGTGAGTGATGTATCAAGAGTTTGTTATTTGCAGGATAATTTATCAATGAATAAATTATAAATAATGGCAAAAAAACTCAAATGATCATTAAAGACAAATTAAATGAAAATAATCAGTTTAAAGTGAAAAATACAGACTAACATTTAAGTATGTAGATTGGACAATGTGTAATATAAATCTGGAGGTGTAGTCACATACATGATACCTGTAGTAGAGTACAGTTTCACGTGGAGTTTTATACGCCTGTAACTTTGAAATTATATTTAACAAACTCTAACTTATATCACTTTAATGGCATTTCTACACATGTAGGAATGGCTATATTTTCTTCAATCAAAATGTGCTAACCTATGCATGAGCAATTGTGATATCATTGTGTAAAAAATTAATATCATACTATGAAATAACCCCAACACAGAATCAAGTCTTTTGCAGTCTCTCATCTTGTATATGGTCTTTCGTGGTTGTAGTCAGGGAAGAGACAATGAGAAAAGCTGTTTTAAGGCCTTCTTCACAAAACCTGTTGGTCCAGCAGAACACCACTCTGACCCCACTGTTTACTGTGCACCAGTCACAAGATAAGCTCCAGGCTTCCTCATCGGTGTATACAGAGCCAGAGGTTGCCTGAAACAATTCACTCTGTAGATGTTACACTACAGTAAATCAATAAATAACCACTCTTAGAGGAAGCAAAGAGTGTGAACTATAATACCCTTTTCAATTTTATAGCTCTAATATTCTGCTGACATTTTCCACCCTAATTACCAACAGGATGTGTGCATTAACAAGGAAGTATGAATACAAAAAAAACAAACAAACAAAAAAGCCCACCTGTGTACCAATTTATGTAACATTCCCATTAAGCAAGGAACTCATTATGCTTGTGCTACATTTCTGGTTCATAAATATAGAGATTTTACCATCAACAGTGCAGCTGAGCAGAAGATCTTTGACTCATAATGGGGTATGAGCCGAGAAGCTAATGAAACCAATTGCGCAGATTAAATTTGTTGGTGTTACCTGAAACAGATGGAAGAGCGGAGGCAGACGAAGAAATATACCAAAGAAATATATCAAACACACCAAATAGTCGGCAGGATTAAAATTGTAGAAACTGTCCAATCATGTTGATTGCCCATAATAACGAGGAAGGAATAACAGCTAAGAAAAGGATGAAGAGTGGAAAGGCAGCTGATCCAGATGACACACCTGTGGAGGGTTGGAGATGTCTAGAAGAAAGATCATTGGACTTTTTAACCAGATTGTTTACTACAGACGATGCCTGAAAAATGGGGAAGAAACGTGCTGGCAAAGTATGTAAGGGGTGGTGCAGGACAGGTATGAGGGCAGTGAGACAGTGGTGAGCTCGTTCTTGTTTGCAAGGTCAGATTGGAGTCTCTGTGGAGTATGACGTTTACACATGACTTTGTGATCTGTAGCGAGCATAGGGAGCAGGTGGACAAGCTGTTTTCTTCCACCTACTCGGCGGAGCATTCTTCTAGAGTGAATAAGAGGGATACAGACAGAAAAGTGAAGTTCCAAGGAGTAGAGTTACTGACGATGGGTAAATATAAATATAGGGAGACCTGCTATGATGTATGATTTTGAGACACTGGCACTTACAGAAAGGCAGGAGGCCAAGTGATTGACCAGATTGGAAAAAATATGAAGGACAGCTCAAGGTGAGATGGCTTGGACATGTACAGAAGACAGACGGTGGAGATACCGGACAAACAATACTGAATTTGGAGCTGTCGGTTAAGAGGAAGCCCACAGTAGGTCATGCAAATGGTTGGAGTAACAGAAAATGATGGAAGGGACAAGGTGAGATGGAGCAGATGCTGTGGTGACCCCTAAGAGGAGCGGCAGAAAAAAGAAGCTGAGCTTCCATTAAGTTTCCACCTACTGTAGGGGAACCTAAGGCAGAATTTAGCAACTTTCAAAGTTAAAAACACAACTTGGTAATATTAATATAAAATAACTTTATTCAAAGGCTATACATTACATTTTGTGGACAAAGATATGATTATTAAAAAAAGTAAAAACATGGCTGGTTGTCAGTCCAGACTTTAGCACAGTGTTACAATGTCAGTGGTTAATGACCAACAGGTCCAAATGTATTGAAAATAGTTCCTTCCAATGAATTAAAACTGTCTTTGCCTGCTATGATCAACTTATATAAAATAAGGTGAAGTAAGATAATGTATGGTGTCATTTAGTTTAGACTTTGCAGGTTCAGAGCTGAAACAAACCAAAGAGCGCAGGACTGCACTTGGGATTGTTTTCACATACACCATAGAGATGACAGTGAGACAAGTTACACTGCAGAATACATACAATAGCTGTGCAGAATTACTACAATGACCAACTCTGGGGACAGGAGTTCATTAGTGTTGTCATTTACAACACCCAGTGCAAACCTATTTTCAGTCGACATACCTCTTATAATAGGATCAAAGGTAAATATCCAGATGTTTACTGCAGCAGCAGAGTAGGAACATGGAAAGCTTTGCAGTAATCAGACGTGTAGTGCCCTGTCTGCAGAGCTTTTACAAATTTTGCACATGACAAAAACGTATTTTTTGACACAAACAAAATTTGTTTCATGATAATCTGAGGGGTAAATGCAATGCACAATTTCAGCAACTGTGCAGGACAGTGCATTTGACACATTTTTCACTTCAACAACAATAGACTCATTAAAAAATAATGGAAGCAAGCCAAAAAATATATGTTTATATATATATATATAATCAGTGCAGATTAGAAGTAAATCTGAATCTAATAGAAAGAACACAGCATTAGTGGTTATGAATGTGACTTTCCAAGCACATTAATGAACTCTAGTCACATTCTGGATAACTATTATTTTGACATCAACCCTTCTGCATCACAAATCCATCTCAGTCAAAACCCATAATGGATTTCACATTACACTGGATTTGGCAGATAACTTCCAATTATCATCATCATCTTTGTTCATTTGAGCCAGTGCCAATTCATCTTGTATTCAAAGCTTGCTGTGAAACAGTGGGAGACCTGAGATGGTGGTGGAGCCCATGGACAAGCTAGTCTTGTGAGCATAACATTTTGAAATGATCAGATTTTGCAAATATTGCATACAATCAAAAGTGGAACACATACATTTATGCCAAGAGAGGGTAGCTGTCTTCAGTCCAATTGATTGTGTAAAATCCCTACATAAGCACACCCATACATCAGTTAATCATCATGAGCAATAACTGAAGCTGTACTGAAGATTATCTGAAACACCTCAAAATGTAGAAGCCTGTCCTGAGTTGGTTCCAACTGCCTTACAGAAAGAGGTTAATCCATTACGCCTCCACACCAACCAACTCTGGGGGCATTGGAGACTTTGGATGTTTGCTTTCAAAGTGCTGCTTAAAGGTCTTCGGGTCGGGCATTTGTGTCTGGTAAAGGAAGAATAAAAAAAAAGACGACATCAACGAGAATGACATCAGTTTACTCAGATATATCAGCAAAACCATAATATGAGACAAAAGGTGTTTCACAATATGATCTCGACTGGTTGGATATTAGATTACATTACAAACACCAGCTTGTTTAGTCATTGTTAAGGCTTTGAGCTGCTGCCGCTCTGTAATCGCTTGGATAAGTGATAAATGGCTAGAGGAAACACAGAAACGTATTTACAGGTAATACAGAAAGTCACGTTGCCTGGTGAGTTTTCCAGTTAAAACATGTAAACAGGATGTAGCATGACAGCTCATGTTTGACTTCAACCTGGTCAGTCAATCCAGGAGCAAACACAGATTGGTGAAGAGGAAAATCGCCTGGAGTTCTGACAAATTTCAAAAGCAGTCCGATTCTGGACAAGCACTGAAGAGAACGTGACTGTGGAATGGTCTCAGAGACAGAAAATCTGTTTGTCCCACTGAATGCAGGTAAAATCAATAACAAATTGCCTGCATTTGTCGCTTCATTCTTCCAGGAGGAGCAGAAGCTGATGTCATTTATGCTAAACATTGGGCAGTGCTGTGCCAACCGAGCAGCATTGCATGCCACCACCTGTGTGTCAGATGACGGCAGTGACAAGAAAAGCTGACCGTCCTTGGCACAGATGTGAAAAGAGAAGCAAAAGGTGTATGAGGGTATTGGAAAGGGATTTTAATCACTTTCCATCACACCTTTCTAACAATCGTAGAGATGTAGTTGAAACTTGAAGGGGGGGGGGGGGGGGGGGGGGGGGGGGGCTGTAAGATTACTATGACCTGTTAGCTTGGCATACTTTATCAATAAGCTGTCAATTATAAACCTGCACAAATCCATGCTGTCCAGGTAAAACAGCACTGGGATGAATCCAATCTCGGTTGTGATCTGCTTTCAGCTTGTGACTCACTTCTGTTCTACTCTTAATGTTTTATATTTGATTGTTTACAAAATATAAGAAATGCCAAGCAATTCTAACTCAGTCCAGGAAAGCTTACTGACCTAGACTTTACTGAAATGAGATCATACCTAGTAATCACATAACATGGTGAAGTTATTTAAGGTAGCTGGCTGGGAGGTATAACTTCCAACTTCAGTGTTACAGTGAAGTGTGAAATGAGATATGGTATAGGTATTGACTTAATCACATTGCAAACAATATGATCAAATCCACTGCAGTGATTTGCCAGCCTCCTGTGTAGTGAGTTCCATCCTAACTACATGGTTAAATGTTAGCTAATGCTGCTAATGTCAGCTTTAGCCCATACCCGACACACGGTGCATGTGTATACTAAAGCAGCCTTAGCTGCAGCCTTCTGGTCATGGCCTTTACTCTTCTTGATCTCTGCCTGCTTTTTGGCGTTTTTCTGCTGGGACTGGAACTTTTGGTGCCCACGGGCCATTTCTGATGTTCCACCTGCCAAAAATATACAACAATTTAATCAACACAGCACTAGCAAGAAGATGACAAGCCTCTAATACAATGACTTTAGGGAAGGTGAAGGGAAATGCAAGGCACCAAGGGAATAAAAGCCACACCATCCTGAAATGCAGAGAAGTGACAGCAGCTGAGGGTTTGGCTTAAGCACTATTAATTATTTACAGCTGAAGCATACCTGTCTCCTAACTTAACTAGACTTCAAAACGTGCAAGGCAGCAGCGGCTGTGAAACGCCGTTTGGAACTAGGCTAACTGTTGCTTTTTGGGTCACATGCATCAGGCAATTATCTCGGAAATTTCCCCAAAGAAAATCTAAATGCTCATTTTCAAAGTTATTATAGACAGACTATAAGATTTAGGTCAGTATTGTAGGGACTGTATGAACTCTGTTTCTGAGCGACATTTTTAAAGCCTAACTCGTTTACTATCATCAAACCAGAATCAGTCAGCTATTCTAATAATATGCATGTCACAAAATAAGTGTTGATGTCTCTTTTCAGTTGCCACATTGCATTACCTTAATCAGCAAATATTTAAGTTAAAATATCGTCCACCACTGACCACCGCGCATGATGTAAGGACAGTCCTCGCCATGCAGTGCCCATTCAAGGCTAACGTTATTTGAAAATGCTGCTTTAGTCTTAACAACTTCAACTACCGTTTTTCTCACTTCGGAGACATCTTGATAACACTAAAATAACGTTTTTGTTTTTGTTTTTTAGAAAAAAAATTTAACCATACATTTCTTTTCGTACTAATTCAGAGACACTAGCATTCAGTTAGCCGGTTGCTATCCAGTAGCTTGGATAATACATTGACACATACAATGAACACAACTTTAAGTAGACACTGAGCACTAAAACGTACTACTAGGCGTTTTGTAAATACCTTACCAGTTAAAAAAAGGACTTGTATCAGTGAAGACAATCACTAAACTGAAGCAGCACTACGCTGAGTCCTCTGGAACTCTCGCCTATCCCTGCCGTTTGGCGTCACCGCACTAGTGCGCATGCCCAAACCATGAACTATGATGCATTCAAAGATTTCCAGTAAACCCCAAATCATGACAGTTCTACACGAATCAGGTTGGGGGCTTTACTGACAGCACGTGAAGGCTCCATCTTCCTTTACAGGAGGAACATTTCCCAGGAAGAAAAATTGGCGTAATAAAACGTAAAGTAGTTATTTAACCACAAAAATACATTTCCGAACGAAACAACAAGAATAGCAAAACACCTTTGAAATCAGCAAATGTATAACAGTTTTCCCTTCAAGGTGCAAGACAAATGCATGCCACAAGGTGTCGCGATACAACACAAAGGAACAGCCACCATAGTTTTCTCTTACGCCAATTAACAATTAAGATGATATTCATAAGCTTTCGTAAAATACATTTTATGACACCGCTAATATCACCAATATAGCCAATTAAAATATCAAATTGAGTTGGAAGAGCGTGTGTTTTCGTTTTTTTTTCTGTTTTGCTGCTCACGGGCTTGTTTTTAAACACACACAGAACCCCACCAAAAAACAACACGTACATACAACAACGTACATTATATATAATTTAACGTTGGGCAGTCCACCTTTTACCTATTTTTCAAGACACGCCTTTCTGCTTTCCATTCACCAATGGGGAGCAGTCCTGTACTACGACGCTTAGAAGTATATCACCAATCACAGGGATAGCTTTCGTTTCCTCGTTTATCCTGCCTTAGGTGCTGTACTACCTCGGTCTTAATTGATCACCTTTTCCAAACAGAATACACCCTTGTCTCCATTTATACGGATTATTATCGATTTGTTTTGTTTTTGTTTGTTTGTTTGTTTTTAATATGGACATTTTCTTCTTACACTATGGGCATCGGGAAATGTGTTCGCGAGGATCCAGAGGATTTCATTGGCGGTTTTTAGTGAGACCTTAAATAGAGCCAGCCTTTCCCGGGCTCATTTTTGCAGTTTCCCACACAAACTTACCTGCACTAACTTGAAAGTCCAGTTTCTCTAGCAATCCTAGAAAACAGCAGGGACTTGAAGCAACATGGACCTGGACAGGTAAGAGAAAGTTTTAGCATCACTGATAATAACTTCTGTCAGTTTTAGTCCAGTTCCTTTTAGATATATTTTTTGTCTTCTTGCTATCAGTAGATGTGCACTGGAGCCTATGCTATATAAACACCCCCAGGGACACAAATTACTAAACTAATATAATATAATTTATTTTAGAATGAGTTAATTACCGTTCACGTACCTGCACATAAACGTTACTGGTTTCGTTTATGCTTTCATTATTATGAAAGATTTCACAAAAATTTGAAAATTAAGAACTACCACGATGTCAGACAAAATTGATCTTAATGCCAATATCTCTGAATGACTTCATTTCCACTGGTTAATTTTTAAAGATATACCAGCAAAAGTGGACTTAAATAAACATGCTCCACATGGAGCAGGCAATTTGAGTGAAGTCTGGTGAGAAACAGCCTGGGGCATTTTTAGTGGCTTGGCACTGGCTTCTGTTAATGAAAGAATGACTTTGTAGTAATAACATGCCTCTCTGCCTTTTCCCATCGGTCGTTCCCAGCAAAAGGCTGGTGGTGGTGGTACCAAACGAAGTGTCGGTGGCCCACCGCAAACCGCTCAGGAGTGAGGATGAGGCATGGAAAACCTTCCTGGAGAACCCACTGACAGAAGCCTCAAAGGCCATGATGAACATCAATGGAGATGAGGACAGTCCAGCAGCTCTAGGGGTGCTGTATGACTACTATAAGGTATGAAACAAAGAAGAATAAAGGATATTGCCACTTATAATTATCTGATTTATTTTAGGCATGGAAAATCTTCCTGGAGAACCCACTGACAGAAGCCTCAAAGGCCATGATGAACATCAATGGAGATGAGGACAGTCCAGCAGCTCTAGGGGTGCTGTATGACTACTATAAGGTATGAAACAAAGAAGAATAAAGGACATTGCCACATACAATGATCTGATTTATTTTAGGTCTGAATTGCTTCTGGACTTGTCATAATCCTTTCAGGTTCCCAGAGAGAAGAGGTATACACCCAGTGCCATTAAGCCCACAGAGCCTTCTGCTCACGGGCACAGCAACTGTGGAAAGTTGGACATGGTGGGTCACCAGCTTCAAGCTATGGTGTCACTGCCTGTTAACCTCTCTTTAAACAACAGCACAACCACTGAGCACCAGCAGGGCTACAAATATGGAGCTGAAAGCCACGCAGGAGATTCTAGAGAAGGAGATGGTAAAGGTGGAGAGAATGGACCTCTTGCTCTGGTCAAGACAGAAAGCCAGGCCCCCATGCCACTTTCATTTTCTGGTGGCACCTGCCAAAAAGAGCCTAGAGACCAAATAAGGAGGCTGTATGAGCAAAGCTGTTATGATATGTCCCTCACTGGCTATTTGAAAGACGAACAGAGGAGCAGTCTGGACAGCACGTATGAGGAGCCAGTGGAAAAAGAGGTCAGACCTAATCTGAATAGAATTGTTGGTTGTTGCTATACAAGTTTTGTTGATACTGATAAGATTTTTTTTTTAAAAATTTGATACAAACTCCTTTTTCATTATTATTTCTTTTTACATGAATAGTTTGCTCATTAGTATCTTCTTTTACAGATGTACCATAAAAATTCTTCCTCGGGAGTCGATGAATTTCACCACAGTCTACCAGCGTAAGTTTAAAAACATGGCGATACTACAAAAAAATTAGAATAACATTTATGTGCACACATCTTATCCTGAGAGAAGAATGACTGAATTTTAGGTGCTTTTTAAAAAAAAATTGCCAACAAATCTCATGTGGGGGAAAAACATAAACACTGTTTAAGTTTCCCCATTTGCTGTGATTGTTCTGTGAAGCTGCAACCACATTCATTCCATTCATTGCATCACGAAGGGCATCCTGCGTAAAGCTATCAAATCAAAACATGCAAAACATTATAAACAAAATAAAACCTGTAAAGTCAGTCACAGTTCCCTTAACATGACACTGCAGGCGGAACTTATGGAACTATTTTCAGCATTGGATTAACCCTCATTCAGTGCTTTGGAAGAATGGTGTATGTGGGGGTTTAAGTCTAAAGAAACTGCAATGTGTGTTTTTTAAGGTTAACCAGGGTTTCGGTGTGTTTCAATGAATCTATGCGGCCCAGACACACAATCACTGGCCACGCTGTTTGGTACAAAATGCAATGCAATGTTCAATTGCTTGTTAACACAATATGATCTGATCAGCCAATCACTTGGCAGCAACTGGATGCATTCAGACAAGCAGATATGGTCAAGATGAATTGCTGAAGTTCAAGTTAAGCATCAGAATGAAGAAGAAAGGTGATTTAAGTGACAGAGGTTGGAGGAGAATGGCTAGACTGCCTTGAAATGATAGGAAGGCAGCAGTAACTCAAATAACCACTTGTTCCAAAAAAGAAGCGCATCTCTGAACACACAACACACTGAACTGTGACGCAGATAGGCTACAGCTGCTCTGCCCGCTAAGAAGAAGACAGTAGGAATCAAAATCGGACACTAGAGGATTGGAAAAAACATTGCGTGGTTGGATGATTTTGATGATTTTGGCTCCAATAGGTGGATGGTTAAGACCTAATTTAAACAACATGAAAGCATGGATCCATCCTGCACTGAATCAACGGTTCAGGCTGGTGGTGGTGTGACGGCGTGGGAGATATTCTCTTTGCACTGCGGATGCCTTAGTGCCAACTGAGTGTCGCTTACACTCCACAGCACTACCTGAGTGTTGTTGCTGTCTACGTCCATCCCTTTGACCACAGTGTACCATCTTCTCATGGCTGCTTCCTGCAGGATAATGATGTCAAAAAACTCAAAGCGGCTTCTTGAACATGACAATGAGTTCACTGTACTCGTGTCCGCAATTATCAGATCTCAATCCAGTGGAGCAACTTTGGGTAGAACTGGAGATGTTCATCGTGGATGTGCAGCCCCGGAAATCACGGCATGTCATGGCAATGTGGAAAAAAAGTCTGAGGAAATTTTCCAGCACTTTGTTTAATCTATACTATAAAGAATTAACACAGTTCTGAAAGCAAAAGGGACACTAGTAATAAAGTTTTTGTTGAGTGTATGTTGGGCTCAAGTTTGTTTAGAGTCATAAGTGTCTTTAAAGAGTTCCTCGCAATCTTCTTATCTGCTCATTTCACCCCCCCCAACGATTAAAATGTTGATTTAAGTATTTACCTCTGGACAGTAATGTGTTTAGTATGTCAAAGGTGATGCTGACTATCTGCTGTTGCTTGACCTCTTTTACTGAGTCACATACACCAGCATTAATCTGCTCTCCTAGAGTAAAAGTTTTAAAGTTTTAACAAGTTCCTCCATTTGGCTGTGATTGCTTTAATTTGATAATATGACAGGAATAGTTTTTTCTAGTGCACAAGCATCAACTTAAAGAGTTTTTCTAAAATGAAAGAGAAGCTGGTATATAATTTGATTTTTAGATTAGGATGTCCTTCATTTTAAAAGATTGTCTTAAGTCATTAATTTTTATCAAATATTAATATTGTCAAGGATTGCAAGAGTTCAATGACTGTAGTCCAGTTTCCTTATTGGCACACACAGGATTTAGACTTCAAAGCCTAAACTATATATTATGAAGAGTTTATAAGGCTATATTGAACAACATTCAGTTTTATATGTTACTTTCACCTGTCATTGTTTTAGTAGTCATCTTACCAATGGCAGTTATGGAGCCCATTATGTCCTTACAGTGACAGCTTCCGGTACAACCTGGAGGCCACGTTATCTCTCCGGCCACGCCAAGGAGAAGGACCCATGGCCTACTTGAACCGCGGCCAGTTCTACCCTTTGACGCTCTCTGCGGCCGGCTTCAGATCATCCCTGCATCAGCCCAGAGGGAAAGTCGGAGTGACTGGAGTGACATCATCCCATGGAGCTGATAGGAGTCTATCCAAGAGTGATCAGTGCACCGTGGGAGGCTCTGAGCTGCCACAGAACAGTATTGTACAGGTGAGTGAGGGAAGATGGAGGAGGCTGAGGACTTGATCACTCAGTAGTGTGAAATATTTGACCTTATTCTACTTCATATTTTCCTGTAGAGTGTTATCATGGTTGTCTTTGGGGACGACAAGGGCAGAGATGAGCAGCTGAAGAATTGGAAATACTGGCACTCACGGCAGCACACTGCCAAGCAGAGAGTGCTGGACATCGGTAAGACATTCTGTCCTCACTACCTGTACAATAATGGTGTAGATGGGGACTACTAGATATTTTCACCTAAACCTCACAAAACCATTTAAGGAGAGATTAAGTAGGTGGCAGTCTTACAGGAGGCTCCAGGAGAATCCTGTCACATATCCAGAGCTGAAACCTGATATAATTTGAATAACAGTCAAGCCTGAATTCCCACAGGAGTGCTGTGGAAAGACGCTTATGGGTCTATGTTTGCATAGACGTTAACAGGAGAAATAGGTGGGGGCTTGGATTGTAGCCATATCATGTGCGTTCAGCAAAAGACGTGCCCCAGCCTGTGGCTTAAAACCGAAAGGAATGAACCAGGTGTCATAAACTCTGGTGAATTTTCATTGCAAGTATTGGCATGAACTTGCCACAGACAAGGTGGGAGAGTGAAAATAAGGCAGTGTATTTGGAGTTAATGGTGGAGTGTTGTGAACTGTTGAAAATATGAGATAATGAAATAGACATGCTGCCTGTAATGGGATTTAAAGACAAAATGCTACTGTAGGAGAGAAACGGTGGAATGTTAACTGTTATTGTTGTTCTGACTCTGAGGGAGCAGTTTCCTAGTTTGGGAAATGATCACTGCCTCAACCACTTACTAAATAAGTATACTGTATGTCTTTATGAGTTCTTGGATCAGTATGAACAATCAAAAATTTAGTTGACACTCAGTCAGGGAACAAATTATTTGAACCTCTACTGATTTTGTAGCTTTGCCCACTAACAAAGAAAAGTCTATAGTTTCAGTGGTAGGTTTATTTGAACAGTGAGAGACAGAACAATAATAAAAAAGAAATAAATTCAGATTTTCAGGAATGAAATAAGTATTTGCTCACCATCAATCAGCAAGATTTCTGGCTCCCAGGTATATTTTATCCAGGTAACGAGCTGACATTGGGAGCCTTCTTAATTTGTTACCTGTATAAAAGATAACTGTCCATAGAAGCAATCAATCCATCCAGATTCCAAACTCTGCACCATAGCCAGGACCAAAGAGCTTTCTGAGGATGTCAGGAACGAGACTGTGGAACTACACAAGGCTGGAATGGGCTACAAGACCATCGCCAAGCAGCTGGGGGAGAAGGTGACGACCGTTGGTGCGATTATTCGCAGATGGAAGAACCATAAAATAACTGCCAATCTCCCTCGGTCCGGAACTCCACGCAAGAGCTCACCTCATCGAGTTTCAGTGATAATGAGAACACTGTGGAACCAACCCAGAACTACTCGGGAGGAACTTGTCAATGATCTCAAGGCAGCTGGAAACCCAGTCACCAAGAAAACAGTTGGAAAGAACATGTACAGACCACTGAACATCTCAATGATTCAGAGGAGGACTGGGTAAAGTGTTGTGGTCAGATGAGACCTATTTGGCATCAACTTAACTCGCCATGTTTTAGGAGAAAGAATGTGGCTTACGACTCCAAGAACACCGTCCCCACCATCAAACATGGAGGTGGAAACATTATGCTTTGGGGGTGTTTTTTCTGCCAAAGGGACTGGATCAAAGGAGGACAGATGGGGACACGTACTGTCTTGGGTGAGAACCTCCTTCCCTCAGCCAGGACATTGAAAATGGGGTGGGTGGGTATTCCAGCATGACAATGATCCAAAACACGAAAGGCAACAAAGGATTGGCTCAAGAAGAGGCATGTTAAGGTCTTGGAGTGGTCGAGTCAGTGTCCAGACCTTAATCCTATAGAAAATCTGTGGAGGTAGCTGAAGGTTCCAGTTGCCAAACATGAGGCATGAAACATTAATGACTTGGAGAGGATCTGCAAAGAGGAGGGTCTCTCTCTCTCTATATTATATAGAGATATATAGCAAGATACAAAGATAAATGTATAGTTGTTTTTGTTATGCAAGTATGTTTTGAAAAATTCACACACAAAAAAGAAAATGTGCCTCCAGACAGGCAAAATGTTAACAGATCTGAC